TATATATATATATATATATATATATATATATATATATATATATATATATATATATATATATATATATATATATGTACATTATAATTGTAACTTAGTTACACTTAATAACTAAACTAAATTTTCTTTAATTTAAAAATGGTATAGATTATAGTTTATAGATCATAGAGTATAGAATATAGAAAATTTAAAAATATTTTTAAACGATAAATAACTAAACAAAAATAATAATATCATTATTAATATCAACCAAAACAAGTAGACATTTTTAATTAACCGAGTTAGCGCATAATATTGTATGCGCCAAGTTGTTAATATAAATTTTTTAACTTATTTTTAAGGTAATTAGGACGTCTAATGTAGGTCTTAGCGACGTCAATAGGACGTCTAAATATGGAAATCCTAATATCGTCTTTATATTAACGTCACTTTGACGTCCTAACAAAGACGTCTCTACCGGACGTCTTTAGGACGTCCTAATTTGGTCTGAGACGTCGCGACCTAGTTAAGACGTCCGTAAGACATCTGATTGACGTCTGTGCCCGCTGGGATACGTCCAGATGTTTAGTTTGCAAACTATTTAATCACGCAACAACTTTTAGTGATCAATTATGCTCAAAACATAAATTATGCATTTTATTTAAGGTAAAATTTTTTTAAAGCATTTAAGCAATTTTTTAAGCAAAAAAATATGTTGAAAAAATAAAACTTTATAATTCGGCGACCTCTAGACATTAACCAATATTTTTGAAAATTTGGCCAAATGTTTATCCGATATCATAATGTTTATCCGATATTAACCTTTATTATACACACGAGGTAACATAAGGTTAAATTAATTACTTTTTAAATAATTTAAATTTAAAGTTAAAAAAAGAGTAAAAAACGGCATTTTTTCAAGACGGCGACCTATAAATGATATTTTAAAGTTTTGAAAAATTTACAGACTTTTTTTTGGCCCATTATTTACCCCGTTATGCATGTAACGTTACCATTTTCGAAAAATTGTCGGAAATGAAATGTACATATGTACATGAATAATGAAATGAATGTACATATAGTTGTGCCAATCCGTTTCATATGTACATTTAGTTGCGCCAATCCATTTGTCAGTCGATTTATGCACTTTTAAAAAGCGATATCTTAAATTAATTTTTGAAAATAAAATAAAAAATATATTCATAAAAAATTTATTTTAATTTAAATATAATTTAATTTTGAAAACAATAAAAACCGGGTTGCATAATTAAATTTTTTTTTTCTAAACAATCGATTTTTAAATAAAAACTTAGATGTAAAACGTTTTTTAAAAATGGCAAATATTAGCGTTTTTTAGTGTAATTTTTTAAACTTCAACATCGAATTAAAAACTTTCTGTTGATTTTCAGAATTATGTTTTTATACATTTCTTAATCAGGATAAAATTCTCTATCAAAATCAAAAATAAAAGTACGGAGTAGAGATGTAAATTAGCGCCCATTAAAGATTTTTGAAAATCGGCCACAATAACGACGCAGCCAGAAATAGGTCAGTTTATCCTAAATAACTAGCCATGTAGGTTAAACGGAGTACCATAATGGCGTCAAGAAAAATATCGAAAAAATAATAAAAAAGCGCTTTTTTTAAATTGTTAAGTCCAGATATAAAAAACAAATTTAGTATAAAAAAATCAAATACAGTAATTTAATAAGCTAAATAATTTTTTTTGATGTGCTAGAACCAAGTATAGAAAATCAACATTCCGCATTATTTTTTATGGATGGACCAGCCAGTAGTGGCAAAACCTTTGAATATAGTTATTTGATTGCTTAAATGAGCAGTAGGGGTGTTAAATCTGCTACAGCTGCATGGACTGGTATAGCAGCAACTCTTCTAACAAATTGATCTATACTGGACGGGTTATTTAAACTTCCTGTCCCAAAACTGAATAACAGCACATGTAATGTGACTCCTAACTCTATTCAGGGACAATTTCTATCGCAAGTTAGTTTGCTTATGCTTGACGAGACATCCATGATTCCTAAACATGCTTTAAATGCAATCGATAGGTTGTTAAAAGATGTTTGCAACAATAACTTTCCCATTGGAGGAAAAGTCATTCTTTTTGGTGGTGACTTTAGGAAAGTATTGCCTGTTGTGAAAAGAGGACAATCAGCTGAAGTTGTTGAATCATGTATAAAAGGTTCTTTACAGTGGCAACGGCTGCAGAAGTTTACATTAACTGAAAATATGAGAGTAAGTGATCGAAAAGGAGAGTTTTTCCAACGGCTATTAAAGTGGAACAATACCTGTCAAGGAGGAAGATCCTTTTAAAAGATGTATTGAAATACCACAGCAGTACATTATTAGAGAAAACGACTCAATTGTTGAAAAGATATTTGGAGATGCTCAACATAATGATTATGCTAAACGTGTCATTTTAACACCCACTAATGTGGATTTATTGTCAATCAATAAAGAACTGCTTGAACGCCTCCATGTAGAGGTCAAAACTTATTTAAGTGCTTATCAAATTGACACTGACGACCTTAATGAGAGAAATAATTTTCTTTTTAAGTTTTTGAACAGTTTAACCCTTTCAGGTATGTCTACTCATTATTTAATATTGAAAATTGGTTGTGTAATTAAGCTACTTAGAAATTTAGATTTTAAAGCTATGTAATGGCACTCGAATGAAAGTTTGTGCTCTCCAAAATAGTTATAATGATGCAGAGGTTTTGACAGGTGTTTCTGAAGGTAAGCGGGTATTTGTTCCTCAAATTCAGTTGGTTCCGTCGGATTCTAATTTACCTTTTGTTCTAAAACGTCGTCAGTTTCCGGTCCAATTGGCATGTTCTATGACAATTAATAAAAGTCAAGGTCAAACGTTTGATAGATTCGGTGTTTATTTAAAAAAACCATGTTTCTCTCATGGTCAATTATATGTAGTGTGTTCAAGAACAAAATGTCACTAAAGTGACATTTCCGATCATTTCCCTATTTTTTTCTCTATAAATATAAAACCAAAAGTACTACCTAATGAAAAAACAACCTTTTTAAAACGTATCTATAACGAAGCTAATTTATTATCGTTTCATGAACAACTGTCATTGCTTCATTGGAAAGATATAAACACTTCATCTGACGTAAACTTTGCTTACAACCAATTTTTTCAATCTTTCTATGAGGTATATGATGTAAATTTTCCGAAACGCGAAATAAACTTAAAAACCAAAAGTGTAAAATCACCATGGATTACAAACACCCTAAGAAAATCATCAAAAGTCAAACAAAAGTTATACATTAAATACCTTAAAGAAAAAACGATAGAAAGTAAAACCATCTACAAAAAATATGCGAGAGAATTTGAAAAAATTAGAAAGAATCTTAAAAAAAAATACTATTCCGATTTACTTATTCGATACGAATGTGATTCAAAACGCACATGGCAAATTTTAAGAGAAATTACCGGTAAAGCAAAAATTAAATCATGCGCTCTGAAAAATGGCATTAAAATTAATGGTGATATCTCTTATGATCCACGTGAAATAGCAATCGAACTAAACAAATTTTTTGTCACGATCGGACCTAATTTAGTAAGAAATATACCAAATATAAAGAAAACAAGTGATATCTCATCTATTGCATTAGCTAATCTTGATTTTTTGGAATTATCGTTTGAAGAATTTGAAACAGCTTTTAATACGCTAAAACCAAATAAAGCAAGTGGCTCCGATAATATAAATGGCAATGTAATAAAAAATTCATACAAGGCTATAAAAGACGTGCTTTTTAAAATTTTTCACTTTCAATCAGACAAGGAATTTTTCCTGATCAATTTAAAATTGCAAAAATCACACCGATATTCAAAGGAGGAGACTTAACAAATATCAATAACTATCGCCCTATCTCTGTTCTTCCAGCCTTTTCTAAAGTCTTAGAAAGAATTATTTATAACAAAATTTACAATCATTTAACTAACAACAATTTATTATTTAACCACCAGTATGGATTTAAAAAAACAACTCTACAGAGCACGCGATTCTCCAGCTAACACGTAGTATCACAGAATCTTTCGAGAAATCCGAATATACTTTAGGCATCTTCATCGACCTATCGAAAGCCTTTGATACAATAGATCATAAAATTATTTTTAAAAAACTCAAAAATTACGGAATAACTGGAAATGTTTTAAAGTGGATAAAAAGTTATTAAAGTAATCGCAAACAATTTGTAACCATTGACGCTTCTTCTCCAATAAGTTTGTTAGAAATTACTTGTGGTGTTCCTCAAGGATCTATTCTCGGACCACTTCTTTTTCTTATATATATCAAAGATCTCTATAAAGTATCCAGATTAAAAACAATCATGTTTGCAGACGATACAAACTTATTCTTATCTCATACTAACATCACTACTCTGTTTCAACTTATGAATGTAGAATTAAACAAGATTTCTTACTGGTTTAAATTAAATAAATTATCGCTTAATATTCAAAAAACAAACTGGACTCTCTTTCACCCGCCCTCTAAGAAAAACTACTGCCTTATGAAATGCCATCCCTTTTTATTGATAACATCGAAATAATTAGAGTAAACGTTACAAAATTCTTAGGTGTTTATATTGATGATAATCTTTCGTGGAAAAATCATATTGAAAATTTATATAGCAAAACTTCAAAAAGTTTAGGAATTTTATATAAAGCAAGAAACTTTTTAAATAAAAAAACTCAATTATATTTCTCTTTTATTCATAGCCATATAAATTATGCAAACATTGCATGGGCTTGCAAAAGCAAACTCTTTATCGTCATCAGAAGCACGTTTGATACATTTTAGTGAACGTCTTACTCATGCAAAGCCTCTATTAAAAAAAATGAACGCCTTAAATGTATATTAACTCAATGTTTATAATACTCTTTGTTTTATGTTCAAATGTAAAACTAATTCTTCACCAGTTTCTTTCCATGATTTGTATATGTTAAAAGATAAAAATAAATACTTTTTACACAATAACAATTTTATTAAGCAGCCATTTTTTCAAACTAACTTGAGCAAATTCTGCATTACTTCTCGCGGACCATTCTTATGAAACAAAATTGTCTTAAAAAACTTTTCTCAAGATTTTATCCAACAATCTAACTACAACTCTTTTAAACGAAAGTTAAAAGAATTAATTTTTACAATTGACGATCTATCAATTTACTTTTAATAATTTTTAATAGTTTTCCCATTTTACCTCCACTTATCAAAGAACTATTATTATTTTATAACTTATATATTTACCAAGAATATGTATCAATATATACGACAATTTATATGTTTATTAATTTATATAGTATTTATATAACTGATCTTTATATTCATAACGGGTTTTCTGAATATTTTTAATTTGTTTGTACCACGTTCTTTTTAGCGGTTCTCGACGACAAGACCTTACGGTCTTCTACGAGTCCCCGCGTTCTTTTATTTCTTATTTACGATTTTTCTTTTTTGTTATTTTCTTGTAACTTCTATATTTTATTTTTTAATTTGTATATTTATAACGGAATGTTGTTTAAAATGTAATAAAGAACAAAAATAAAAAAAATAAAAATAATAATAATAAAAAAAAGAACAAGGACGTTTAATAGTCTGTTTTTTAAAATTGATAAAAATCCTATTCAAGGTATGGTAGGTGAAAAAAGTTACACAGATAATCTTATATTTTCGAATGTTCTTAATTTGTAGTTTTAAAATTTTATTTGAATTAAATTTGTCTTATGTGTTAATATGTGTTAATATGTGTTATATAAAGTTATTATATGTAATTGTAATACATTATGTTTATTTCTAAAAGCCTTACTTTTCACATGGCCAATTTACAAAGCCAGTTTTTGTATAAACCAGTCTTTTTTATACTGGGTAAGAAAAACCAGTCTTTGATACCGGGTATCAAAGACTGCATTAGTACTTACTTACGAAAATTGCGTATATTGATTTGTGTTAAAATATTCTTTGTTGCTATACCATACATTGATATTTTTATTTGTGTTTTTCATTTCAGATCTGTCTTATGAGATATTTTTAATATACAGGGGAAGAAAAGCAGGACCCACACCCTACAGAGGATTTGGGATTTATCAAATCATGTCTCATTTCAATTTTTCTTTTTCATTTGTCTTTGTTTATTAAACATGTATTTTTGTCATTAAATAATTGACTATTGCTGTTCTTATATATTGTACTTTTTTTTATAAACTGCATGAAAATATTTTATGAGGTATAATAATTTAATTTGTAATGTCAGTTGCAATTTTAAATACATTTCAATAACACTAAATCAGTTAAACTGAATTTGTGTTTGTACACCTGATGCTGATGTATCGTTTAATTTTTACTAATTGTTCTTGTTACTGGAAAGCCAGTTTTTGTTGCCGGAAAGCCAGTTTTTGTTACTGGCAAGCCAGTTACTGGGAAAAACCAGTTTTTGTTACTGGGGAGCTTTTTTTTGTTACTGGGAAGCCTGATTTTGTTACTGGAAAGCCGGATTTTGTTACTGGAAAGCCAGTTGTATCATAATATTGACTATAGTTTTTATAAATTTACAGCCATTTTATAAGGTTTATTAAAGGTGTTTATTTATGTTGTTGTAATATTTACTTTTGTACCGTGTTTTTAAGGTAGTGTGACTTTCACCCACTGAATGAAGTATGATTACATAATGTGTTTTTCTATAATAGCTTTTTATGTTTGGTTACCTACATAAAGTCATTATGTAAAATAGCTGAGCAATTGTTATCGCTTGCAATTTGGTTACCGCCAGAGCCGGATAAGAGGTGATGCGAAAAAAGCGATTGCATCGAGCCTCGCGCTAACAAGGGCCTCGCGGAGACAGAATGCTGTTGAAAGAATAGAAAAAAAAAAAAAAATTTGAAGTCAATTTTGGAACATTATATTAGAAAACCTCAGTATTAAAACTTTTCAATAAATATATTTAAAAATATTTTATTTTACGAATTATTAAACCATTAGTCGCAAGAATTTAGAGTATTTTAAGACTTAATGTAATATTTTCTATTCAAAGCACAAGTTCAATTAACAAGTAAGTTTTTTTTAAAAAATGTATATATAATTACAGCAATACAGAGCCGTGATAATAAACTATTATTATTATTTTCGTTAGAAAAACTTAAGGAAACAAATGAAAATATATGGCCTTAACAAATTTATTTTTCGAAGGTTTAGTTCACAAATATTGCTTGTCAACTTTGAGTTCATCTAGCCAGTCAATCAATACAACGTATATATTTATATTTGTTATTTTAAAAAAATTGTTCCTTATTTACTGAAAATGTTTATAAAGAAAATAAATGTATTTTTTTTCTAAGTGTTTTTTCTTATAACTTATGGCATCTTTTATTTTGTTGCCTAGATCATCTGGTTAAAATGTGGAAACAAACAAAAAATAAGATAGAGATATAGGAAGAAAATTCGAAAGTAGAGAATCTTGAGTTAAACATTACACTAGAAACAATTCAACCAAATACGACTGGGAGTAAAGATGAATATTATGATAAAGAACTGAGTATAACAGATGATCCTTCAACTTGGCCCAAGATAATTAGTCTACAAATAAGAGATTTAGTTAAGAAAGGACCAACAATTCTTTCAGATAATTTCCCTGTCAAAACAATGGAAGACATTTTTAAAAAGTGCATTTGAAGAGAAAGTTTTCAAATGGAGAAATAATAATTCATCCGTGGATAATATACTCTGAGTTACAAGGACAGAATATTTTGCTTTTATTGTCGCCTTTTTAGTGTACCATTTGATGCACTTGCTACTTCTGGATTTAATAACTGGTCAAATATTTACAAAAGATTACCATTACATAAAAACTCGAAAAATCATTTGATAGCAATGTTAAAATGTGGAAATGTTCGAAAATGCTGTCTGATGAACAAAGAATTGATAAAGTGCAGCAAAAGTTGCTCAATCAAGAGCAAATTCGTTGTTATAAAATTTTAGAAAGACTATTTTCTGTGGTTCAGTTTTTAGCTGAGCGTAATATAGCATTTCAAGAATCTGTTGAAAAACTAGGTGATGCAAGAAATGGAAATTATATATGTATTATAGAGTTACTTGGAAAATTTGATCCAATAATGCAGCGAATTGTCAGAAAAACAACTAATGAACATCATCTAAGTAAAACAATCCAAAATGAAATTATAAATGTAAGAGGCATTAAAATTCGAAATAAAATTATTGAACAAATAAAAAAAGGAAAGTATTTTGCTGTTATTCTTGACTGTACTCCAGACATTAGTCATAAAGAACAAATGTCTCTTAGCCTTAGATATGTTACAGACGGTACACTACCAGGTTCAAGTGCCAATGTATATGAATAGTTTATTAGATTTATTCATGTAGAGAGCTGTACAGAAGAAAACCTATTTTCTGTGTAAATAGGTATTCTTCTGTTCAGCTCTCTACATGAAATTCAATCTATAGGACTGAACATTAATGACATTTCCTTTTCAGGTGTTCAGGCGAGAATACTAAAAGAAAATTCAAGAGCATTTTTTACATCTTGTACACGTCATAACTACAATCTCCTATTAGGAGATATAGCCAAAATTTGCCTAGAAGCTATAACATTTTTCGGTATTCTTCAACGCCTGTATGTTTTATTTTCGGTATTTACAAAAAGATGGCTGGTGCTTCTCAAATATGTGAAAGAGCTTACTGTGAAACCAATTTGTGATTCCAGATGGGAGTGTCGGATTCAAAGTGCTAAAGCAGTAAGATTCCAAATAGGTGAATTTTGCGATACACTTTTTGAAGTATCAGAAACCTCCAAAAATCCACAAATCAAAAGTGAAGCTGAATTACTTGGAAACTTAATGAAAGATTATAAGTTTTTTGGTATTTTGGACTCTCTTTTAAGTAAACTTTGTAAGTAAAGAAATTCAATGTAAATCAGTAGACCTATCGACAGCTCTTAGCTCATTTGAAAAACTTTTAAGTTGGTTGATCAATTACAGAAGCACTGGATTTGAGCACATTTTAGTCAAGGCAAAAGCACTCGCAGAAGACTTAGAAATGTATCCAGAATTTCAAAATAAGCGACTCCGGAAACGAAAAAAAGGATTTTAATTACGAAGGCAATAATGAGCCTATTATAGACCCTTTAAATACATTCAAGAATATCTTTTTTCATAAAGATAAACAATTGCTAGAAGAGCGTTTTGAACAATTAAAAAATCATGATAATTTATTTGGGTTTTTGGGAAGATTTAAAAAAAAAAAAAAAAGAAGAACTAAAAAAACATGCATTAGATTTAGAAATTGCTCTGACAGATTCTAAGATTATACAAACGGATACATCGAATGACACTGTGAAGCCTGAAGCATACTTAGAAGGTAACATGTTACTTGAAAAAATAGAAACCCTAAAATCTATTCTTTCATCTGAATATTCCCAAAACCCATATAAAATGTTTCAATTTTTATCTGAGAATGACAGAGCTACGGCATTTTCAAACCTATTTATTGCCCTTCGCGTAAACTTAACAATTCCAGTGAGCGTTGCCTCTGGAGAGAGATCATTTTCAAGAGTAAAACTTATGAAAAATTATCTAAGATCAACAGTAAATTAGGATAGATTTAACAGTTTAGCGATCATGTCGATTGAAATTCGATAAGCCAAATACAAGATTTGGATACAAGAATTTTTTAACAAAATTCAGTTGAATTCATTCTTTAACTTATATACGATTTTTGTAACAAAAATATTAAAGCATGTTTTTATTTAATAAAAAATAGTAAAATTATTGATTATATATATTTAATAATAAACATGGAATGTTTATTATTAAATATATGTAAAACATTTTTTACATATATTAATAATATAGGTGTATTCACACTGGAATTAAGAAATAAATTCTTGTTACGGTATCAGAAGATTTTAACATTCAACAATTATGGTTATTAGTTAATGCAATTAGAGTTAAATCGATTTTGGTCTGCGATATCAAAGGTGCAATTTTTGGTCTTTGAACCCATTCAAGTTTACAAGTGCACCCGTGTACAAGGTGCGACGTCAAGTCCAAGTGTCTTGCCAAATCTGAAAACTTGCAAACACTGATCTCAATCAAATCTAGCTTTGAGTCTTTTAAGCAAAAAAAAAATGAAGGTTCGAAACGAGCTCTGGACATATTTTTGCGTCACGGTAAGGAAGGAGGCATGAACTTCCTGGTTAAATGCACTTCCGCAGTGCTCTGTGACAAGACCGTTAGGTCTTCTTAGGGCACCTTAAAAAAAAAAAAAAAAAAAAATGAAATCAAAAATTAAAAATGTGGATGTTCTGAAACAACTTGCTAATACAAAATCGTCAAAGTCAAGGTATTCACGAAACAACAATCATCCAGAGTACAAAGAATACAATGCTGCAGAACTGATCAGAACAATAAACATCTTTAAAGAACTGCTACCATTATTTGATTTAATATATTAGGCAGCAGAAATTCATAACTTATAGTTTATATTAGCCATTTTAACCGTTTTATTCCTTACCTGCTGTTATTAGTTAGAAACTTTAGTATTGGATGTTAAAATATTTTAGAATATTTCACGAAAAGAGTATATTAGGCTATTTTGAATAACTTTCTTGAGGAGAACATCAAAGACCATGTCTTACAATTAAATCAAATTTTATTTGATGGTAATATAATGTAAAAAATAAGATATATATATAAATATTTTTTCACTTCATTTTGAAAGTCAATGTTTTTAAGAAAGTTTCAAGTACCAATAAATTTTTTTTGACGGAAATGTTTATAAAACGAAATATGGCTTGAAAAGACATAAAACTTTGAAACACGAACATATCAACTCAATTAGTGAAGATAAAGACTCCATACAATTTAGCTATCTTGATCTTGAGAAAATTGTGAAAGAATGTGCTTATAAATTATCAAATGATTTATGCTTGCCTAAAGAAATTTGAATCAAATTTTCAAAGCAGAATTTGTGTTTTAGTTCTGAAAATTCAACTTTTTTTTTAGAAAATTTTAAGGGTTTTATTTCAAAATACAATAATGATGCAGAAAATTTTTTTCCTCAATTTTATGGACTTCTTTACGAAAATTTATTGCCATCAAAGTTTGACTATATTTTACTGACCAATACTTTGCTTACTGAAGTTAGAAATCACATACTTCGAGATCTTTCAGAAAGTAAACATAATAATTCATCTAATAGCAAAATATCGTCATCTTATCTTTTTTCTGATAAAGAGTAAAATATAAAAACAATGCATAGAAATATCAGCATGAAAAATTGATTCAGATGATACTCAAAAATATGTTAATACTAAGAAGAGAAGTTGTTTATTTAAAATTATCATCTATAACCAAAATGTCTTCATCCAATGTGAAACAATTTTTTAGTAAACAAAGCAAATCTTTTGTAACATCTATTAACAGGAAATCTCTAATGAAATGCTTAAGGACTCAGTGATTATAAGTACCTTAAACAATATATGTTACAGTACTGAAGTGTAAATTGATAAAGAAATATTTTTGTCTTCTTGAAAGTTTTTTTCACAAGAGTAAGAAGCTTTTCCTATGCTAGAAATATTCGTGAGAAACATCAAATTAACAAGCGACAAGCGCGCAAATATTCGTGAGAAACATCAAATTAACAAGCGACAAGCGCGCAAATATTCGTGAGAAACATCAAATTAACAAGCGACAAGCGCGCAAATATTCGTGAGAAACATCAAATTAACAAGCGACAAGCGCGCAAATATTCGTGAGAAACATCAAATTAACAAGCGACAAGCGCGCAAATATTCGTGAGAAACATCAAATTAACAAGCGACAAGCGCGCAAATATTCGTGAGAAACATCAAATTAACAAGCGACAAGCGCGCAAATATTCGTGAGAAACATCAAATTAACAAGCGACAAGCGCGCAAATATTCGTGAGAAACATCAAATTAACAAGCGACAAGCGCGCAAATATTCGTGAGAAACATCAAATTAACAAGCGACAAGCGCGCAAATATTCGTGAGAAACATCAAATTAACAAGCGACAAGCGCGCAAATATTCGTGAGAAACATCAAATTAACAAGCGACAAGCGCGCAAATATTCGTGAGAAACATCAAATTAACAAGCGACAAGCGCGCAAATATTCGTGAGAAACATCAAATTAACAAGCGACAAGCGCGCAAATATTCGTGAGAAACATCAAATTAACAAGTGACAAGCGCGCAAATCTTCGATAAGAACAGATATTTAAAAGCGACGTGCAGCAATGTAGTTGATCCATAAATTTGGTCTTGAGTTCATCGTCAATCTGCTTTAGAAGATACAAAACGGTTATTTTTATAGCCACAAATTTTATTAAAATGTTAAAACAATTTAGTTATTTTCAAATAAAAATATTGATATTGATATGCTGTTAAATAAAAAAAAGTGTTAGTTTCTTTTTAATTTTATGTTTTATATATAAATTATGTATATAGGAATTTTAATTTAATTGATTTAAATCCATTCAGTTTTCCATTAGTATAAATACTAATCCATAGAGAAATGATTATATCATTGATGATTTGAAATACTCATCGAAACACTATAAAATTATAAGCATCGTATATATAATGTATCCTATAATAATTTATAGTTTTTTTTTTACTTTATGTTTTTTTATGTTTATTTTTTAAATCAGATTGCATCAAAATAAAATTTAATAACAAAATAAACAATTCTGATTTCTTAATTGCCCAATTTAAATATTTCCTACTGATAATATTTTTCTAGTAATTATTTTATCCTCTGATAATGCCCCATAAACGTGTTGCCCGTCGGAAACTGACCCACATCCTGCACTTTTTTGCGCTCCTGTATACACAAAATGTGTAAAAAATGTCACACCCTAACAATTTTTCAAGAAAAAAGGAACTTTTGTATGCTTTAATTTAAATTTTTTACTTTACCCAACTTTAATTTCTTAATAAATCATAATTATGATATATTAAGAGTATTCTTAATATATCATTGAGATCACCTGATCCTTTTTTACATTTTCTGTGGTTCAAGTTAGTATAATTGTGGGGGAAAAATATAAACAAACAAATTTGATTGTTATTAAAACAATTTTTTTAGCGAAAAAAAGTTTTTTTTTTAATAAGTTCTTGATAATACAATCATGGTTAAAAGATTATATTTAGTAAATGTTACACTATTAGGCTTAACATTTAGTAAATGTAAAGCCTAATAGTGTTGGAAACTTCAGAAAATATAACAAAATATATTACATTTTTTTATATTTTCTATATATTTTCAAGAAAATAAAAACAAACAAGACATCTTTTATTTAATAATGCAATTTTTTTTATTATTTCTGTTAATGCAACTTTTTTTATCATTTTTGTTAATATAACTTTTTTTTATACTAAATTAAAAAGCGGGCTGTTCGATGCTGCCAATGCTAAATTTTAATTTATTGTAAGTTTTGGGTGCTTAATACAAGGGTGGTGATAAAAGTCTGACTAACAAAAGCAACTAAGAGTATCATTATAATTGATTAAGAATTGCTTATATCGAAGGAACACTTTCTTTTACAAAATAAATAATAATATGAATAAACAGTAACTGTTGACACAAGCATAAAAAGTGAATTCTTAAATAATGTAATTATTTTTAATTGAAGCTTTGAAAATAGCTATTTTGATAGGATTATAGCCACTGTCTGGGACTTTGTTAATTTTCTATTTAGTCTGATTTTCTTTTTCTTTTTGGTAGTAGTAAAGCATTTATCTCATTAAAATTATGTCTTTGATCTTGAACGTTACCGACAATAGATTGTATAGAATATTGTGGCTTGATAGTGTTGTCATTAAACCCAGCATCTCTGACAGCGGGACTATTACGAATGCTGCCAATGGCAGACTACCTTCATAAGTAGTTTTTTAAATCGTCTTGACAAAATTTTTCTGAAAGAATGTAAGGAAAACCATTTTCTAAGAGAAAATTACAAACTTCTTTGAATGAATATACTATTATCTGGATACCTTCATATATTTGCAAAGAAATAAACATATTAATTTTAGCATTAGCAGTATAATTCCATTTCAATTGTCAATAGAATCTTTTCATTTTTCAAAGTATAAAAGTAAACTGTCAAGCCATTCAAAACGTACATCATTAACAGATTCGTATGGTTTAGGATTTTCTTTTAAATTTTTAATAGTTTTGTTTTTACTTGAAACATTCAAGCAGTTAAACAATTTATCCATCATGAGACAAAATTGAGAAATTCCTGCGCATTCTGGTAGACCAATTTCTTTTTAAAAAATGGCAACTGTTTTATATAACACTTGAGCAGCCAAGTAAACACATATTACTGAATATGGTGTTAAATTAATGTGATCACTTGTAACTTTTTTTTTACTAATCTTAAGCCACATTTTAAGTTCTGATAATAAAGAGAAATATGACTCCAGAGTATATGTAAGCCATTATTCCACATATAACGAGTACCTCGTCAAGATCCAGAATTTGCAAAGCAGTTGCGAGCGTGTAGAGCATCTGAAAAGAAATATATGTAATGTTTCTCGTTAGAGTAAATTTTGTGAGCTCTGTAAACTAAATCATTACACACATTCATATTAAAAATAGGAGAGGCACCATCAGCTGTTGCAGAAATAACTTTTAAATTTAGATTTTTAAGGTAATAAACAGCTTTCCAAAAAATATGCATCAGCTAAAATACCGTAATTCCAGTAGTTAAAAAAGTAGCAAAACTAAATGATAAAGGATTAACAATGCTTTTTACGAGAAACACAAGTATATGAGTAGCTAATTTTCTAACATTTTTTAAAGTAGAAAAATTGATTTCTTTTTCATCTAAATCAACAAAACCAATTAGTTCTCCAGTATATTTGTTCCAAACTAAATCTTCTTGAATCTTCATTTCATCCAAAATAATTAAAACAAATTTTTCATGAGGAAGAAAATTCTTTTTCTTTTTTTTTCTTTTTTGTTAAGTTCACTTAAGACAGCTGGATTAAATCCCCTAGTAGGTCGGATGTAATTTTTATAATCTCTTAAAGTTCTTAAGCTTGAAAGAAAATGCCAACACCTGTCTATGGATCATATTGCAAATTGCTATAAGCAGATGGTGATTTAGCAGCTAGGTTTAGACAATATTTTATCACTGCAGGTTGGTATCTAATAAATGAAAGATTGGAATAACTCAAATACTTCCCAAAAAAAAGTTTCACTAGCTGAATAAATCGCGATTAAGTCTTTAATAAGTTCCAGGGCTGTGGAGTCGGAGTCGGAGTTGCGGAATTTTTAGCGGAGTCGGAGTCAGAGTTGCTAAACAAAATTGCGACTCCGACTCCAATAGCAAAACTTCTCGGTATTGCACGTGCATGTACAAATCATTCAATTAACCTTATGTTCATACTAAACCTCAATGAACGTTTCATAAATTTGTCAAAAAAGAAATTTTTAACTTATCGCGTAATATTTTTTTAAGAATTCAAAGAATTTTTCGAAAATTTTGCTTTGGAGTTAGAGTAGGAGTCGGAGTCGGAGTCAGGGTTGTGCTCAAAAAATTTCAATAACTGGAGTTAGAGTCGGAGTCATTAGGTTTTTTTTTACGACTCCACAGCCCTGCTAAGTTCTGAACAAATTTTCTTACTACATATATTTAAAGCAGATTTCATTAGTTCAATTTTCTTTTTGTTATGCTTGCATTGAAGTCTGCATTGCTGCAAAGTCAGTTTAAGTCTACTAGAAAAAATGACAGAGATTGCCGCATTTAATTTAGCAGGAGCCTTAAGAGTAGATCTTTTAGAGTGTATATTAAAATTTACTTTAACATTAAGTTTATGATAAAATCTGCAAGCCTGATTCTTTCCAAAGGCTAATAATTCACAAGAGTTGCTGCGATAAAATTCAATTTGATGCAGTTTAGACTTTGAAAAAAAAATTTTATAAACAAAAAAATCAACAGTCTTAGCAACAACATGCTTCTGAAAATTTTACACTTCAATAGGATCAGGACTATTTATTCCATTGCAAAATTCTAAATATTCTATTTCAAAAATAAACTGTGAGAAAATCACATTTAGAAATGACCTTTTATATTTCAAATATAATTTATGTGTTTCAAGTAACATCCATCCATACACACGAATAGTAACATATATGGAATCTTCTGAAAAAAAATTCAAATTTTGGAAACACTTCTTCTAATAACTTGAATGAAGTATAACAAAAGTTATCAAAAAATTTAAAGAAAGCAATCCAATCTTCTTGAGGCAGAACATTAATAAATTGAACAGTTTTCACACGGCATTTGCAATATATCTTGAATTTTTACACAAAATATAGTGTGTTTATTAGATAAACAACAGGATTTTTAAAAACTTGTGCAAGTTGGAGATCTGGAGATAGCTAAAGTTGCATATAATAAGTTAAAACAATTGGTCATTGTATGCTTCCAGACTTAGGCTATGATTGCACTAACCATACTCAAAAATCATTCGTACTATGCAAAATAGTATTTATTAAAACGTCGCTTGCTTTTATATATGGTTTCACGTTCATTACGGAAACTTAGACTATTATATATGCTTTAATTCCGTAACGGTAAAACCATTGATGTTTAATATTTCTATATTTAAGGATTTCGGTAAACAGTAATGGTTAAATTCATAGAATTAAAGATCTACACTTGAAATGTGTTATTCTCTTATGTTTTTTTCTTATGCCGGCTGGGTATGTACAATTAGATTCAACAAATATTTTATCGAATAATATAATGTCTCAGAGTATTAGATTCTGTAGACCAGTTATGCTGGAGTATTTAAAAGAAAATAAAGAGGTGGTATTAAAAATTAGGGAGGAAATTGAAAAAGAAATTCTTAATTTTTATCCTGTTAAAGTTATCTTCTAGGACATAAGTATGTTTTTATTAACTATAGTTTGTCCTTTTAATGATTAATGGGATAATTTTAGTTTACATCTCAGACATTCTTTGACACAATGTTTTCCGAATTGTCACGCCACACCTAACATGATTAGCAATCTAAAAATCTTTAAAGAAGGTCTTGTTCCTTTTTATTCAAGCATGTAATGGCCACCATTACATGCTTGAATTTTTAGTTTTTTTTTAGTTTATTTTAAAAACTTTATATAAAGTTGCAATAAAAACTTATATAAAAAATTATTCATAATAGGATGTTTGAAGATTTTGGTTTGAGAGTTTGAGATCAGGAATTTGTACCGGCGAGCTTTTTCTGACCCTCTATTACTTAACAAAAATTTAGAAATGGATGAAAAAATTATTATCAGGTTACATAAAAATTCTAATTGCAATCAACTGCAAAAACCAATTTAATTGGGGAAAAATTGATAATTAATGCAATGACACATATCAGAAGTTGTTAAAGACAACGGGACCTTGATTGATTCAAGGTCCCGTTCACAAAGTATTAACACATGCTGGGGAAATTATTATTAATTTACTAGTTCCACTTGGTTTAATGGGAAAGGAGGCAGTTGAATCTCGACACAGAATTTATAAATTTGTTTGTGGATATCATGCATAACAAGTTTGGAGAATTGGATAACCATCTATTGTTTAAATTTATGTCCAAAAGTATGACATATAGAAAAAATCCAACTGGCTCAATTGGTTTTTGACACCCTCCTTGCTGCGCCTGAACTTTTTTAACCCTAAAATAAAAAATATTATCTTAAATCATATATTATTATATATTAAACCAATAAAAGTTTAATACCTACATAAATACAACAATTATATTTTGGGCCAGCTATTTCAATGGAATGCTCCCACTATGCGTTCGAAGCATATAAACTTTAATAACGACGCAAACTAAACTTATGAAAATTTTTTTTAAACATTTTATTCTGTCAATGATGCCAATTTTCCTGTCAATGAAAAAATAATAAATCAAAAAAGCTTAAATGCTCCTTGGATAATGAAGGATTTTAAATAATCATCCAAGATCAAACAAAAACTATATATAAATTACTTAAAAACAAAAACATCTCTAAATGAAAAACTATAAAAAGATTTTAAATATTTATATGAAAAAAACTAGTAAATAATTAAAAAAAGAATTACTACTGAAAATTATTTGAAAATGTTAAAAACGACTCTAAACGCACTTGGAAAGTATTAAGAAAAAATGATGGAAAACAAAAAACTTTCTCAGGTTTTTTACCACAGGCGAGTAGAATGGATAAAAAGATGTTTTTAAACCTAGAATAAAAGCTGATGACTTAAACAAATTCTTCAATAGCATTGATTTCAAACTGTCACAAATATTCCTAATAACCAAGTTGTGTTCAATAACTTTTTAACACCGATGGATGATTGTATTTGCTATTATAAATTATCTTCTGAGCTATCATTTGAGGAGTTGAAGTGTCATTTAAATTTATAAAAAAAATCAAAAATTCTGGAACTGATAAAATAAACGTAAACATAGTCTTAGAATTCTTTGAATAATTAAAAGATATTCCCTCTAGAGTTTTCAAAGTGTCAACAAGAAGCGTACAACAAGAAGCGTACAACAAGAAGCGTACAACAAGAAGTTTTTCCTGATCAGTTAAAAATAGTCAAGGTGATTTCAATCTACAAAGAAGGAGACAGAACTAATGTATGTAACTACCAATCTATCTCTATTTTATCAACATTTTCAAAAATCTTTAAAAAAATTACTTACAATAGATTATATACTTCTTTTAAGAAAAATAATTTTTTATATAAAAACTAGTTTGGTTTTAAAAAAATAGTTCTACTGAGCACGCAATCATACAATTCGTCATTAAAATCTCTAACTCTTTTAAAATGTTTACAATTCATATTAGATATTATTTTAGATTTATCAAAAGCATTTAATCCAGTTTTAAAATATTATGCAGTGAATGGCGTAATTTTCTAAATTTTTAAAGTTTATTTAACAAACCAAAAACAATTTGTTTTCGTTGTGTTTTTTCGTTTGTGGTGTTTCGCAAGGATCAATCTTGGTGCTAAATTTGATCCTTGCGGAACCACATAAAGAATTTTGCGACACAATCTCATTTTATTCTGGTTTGGAGAGCCAAATTGAAATAAAAAAAGATTGCGTCACAAAAATTTTAAGTGTATTCCTTGAAGAACAACACATGGAAGCAACATAGAGTTGGTACAAAAGTTTCAAAAAATATAGGAATTCTTTATAATGCCAGAATCTATATAAATAAAAAACTTTTATCCCAATTTTATAATACATTTATTCATAGTTGTATGAATTATGCAAATGTTGCTTGAGCAAGCACTTAAAAAAAAAATTACTATCTCTCTATTGTCGTCAGAAAAATGCGTGTAATTTAATTTGCTGCTAGTTTTTTTTTACTCCAAACAACTTTTTTCTGAAATGAGTAGACCTAATACTTACGAACTCAATATTTTTTGATATTTTATGCTTTATATATATATATATATATATATATATATATATATATATATATATATATATATATATATATATATATAGGGGAAGTGGGGGCATAACCGCCCCCGTAACGTTTGGATTAATGTTATATGAAAATAAAAACGAAATGTGTTTTTTTAGCAGTTTATTTCAATAACCACATCATTAAGCTTTAAATTGATGCATTTAAGAAAAAAGTTGAACGGGTTTTGAAAATGTTATTACACAAAAATTACACTTAGTGAAAAAAACGGTTTTGCCCCCATTGTGAGGCACAACCGCACCCTCACAAAAATCGATGGGGCTACACCTTTCATGGTACATTTTTTTTTACAATTTTCAGAGCTCAGATTATTTGATGATTTTGTTGCATGTTTACATACTGTGCAGGCATTCTTAGTATTTACATTTTGAGTTCTGCCCCAGAAGAGAGTTCTGCCTCAGAAGAGAGTTTTTAGAAAAAATTCAGTTTCATAGTTTAATTATTAGATTATGGTATTATCAAAAATGGCTTTCACTTCATGAAATAATGCTGATAACATATATCTTTAACACTAAAATCAAATATTGCTTAATTCTCAAAAAAAAAGTTAGGAAAAATATGATGTAAATATAATATTTTTATGAAAATGAACATTATTATTCACAACTTCTCAGAAACTTAACAGTCACTCTTTTTGACATATGCAAAATGAAGAAAAATGCTTTACTAACGTGTGGTATGTTTTTTTCCACATTAGAAAACATTTTTTGAGAGAAATGTTAAAAAACGGTTGTGCCTCCATATGCGGTTATGCCCCCACTTCCCTATATATATATATATATATATATATATATATATATATATATATATATATATATATATATATATATATATATATATATATATATATATATATATATATATATATATATATATATATATATATATATATATATATATATATACATTTGAGAATAATCATTCTCCAGCCGTTTTTAATGATCTATTTACCTTAAAACTACCAATAAAAACTCTCAAAGTAATTCCAACTTTTTATATGAGCTTTTTTGTCAAACAAATTTTAAGCACTTTTACATTGATTATTGTGCGACATTTTATTTTTTGAATAAAATTGTTTTCCTTAATTTAATTTTTGATCTACCTACTTCTTTGCATTGCTTTAAAATTAAGCTGGAAAATCTTTTACTCTTTTATATCAAAATTTGACAATAATATTTATATTGTGAAAATATTTATTAAACTTTTTTGTCTATACTACAAAGAAACATATTATGTATTTTTTATTTTATTATGGTGACTTGTAAATTTGAACTATTTAAAAATACACTTAGCATTAAAAATAAAGAGCTAATGATTTCAAGGTCATAAATTCCGCCGATATGTTTTAAATGAGCGCTTTTAAGACTTGAGTCTCACTCACCACAACCTTGCTAGGGCACTTTTGACTTTATTAATCAATAAATTAAAAAACTATGCTATACTTTAAAATGGTTTAAATGTATACCGTATTTTCAATCAATACCGCCTGGTGGGCAACTTGTATGATTAAAAATGTTTTAAATGCAACCTTTATACAAATAATTTTTTTATCTTTTTGAAAATTTTATATGCAATCTTCACACACAAAAAATATTTTTTTCTTAAAAATATTCTACAAAAATAATACGCAATAAAACTTGTTAATCTAAAAAATAATTTATTCTTTGTGTTTTGCAATCATTTTACACCGTAGTTGAGAGAAGTAAAAGCTATAAATATGTTATACACAAGCTCAAAAAACTCTGACTCGGAAAAAACGTCTACTTTTCTTTGTTTCACAAAAGTAATATATATAATTTTTTGGTATTGCGGTTTATCCTTCTCTAGCTAATTGCCATATAGATGCCATTTATCCATTATCACACGCTAAAGATACTCTAGGGAACTTTACGTTAAGTATCCCGGAGCTATAGCTAAATATGCCCATTACATATAATACAAATGAAAAACACCTTTTAGTCAATGAGTTTGTTTTTAAAAAGTATTCCATCCACAGAATACAAGTTTATAACATCTCTGAATGTAATCAGTTTTAACAGTATTACTTTTATCCAGTTAATAAACATTATCATCGCATTGATACATATTTTTAATGTTTCCATTTTACCATGCACAACTATTTTTTATTGTGTAATAATTAGTGTTTACATTTTTATGACATAATGCCAGGGTATTTGGCTCCAAGTAGTGTCCTTTTAATGTTGCAACATGAACGAGGCTTGACTTTGGAATGGTTTCTTATGCTGATTTTGATAATAAAACTCCGACGCCAGTTTTTAGGTGTTGGTGTATTAAACATTCAAAACGTCAATATACCAGGGTAAAGACTCCCTCAAAAGGGGTCAATACCATAACTATTTCCTGATGAGAATTTGGTATTTGCACTACGTAATTTGTTTGCTTTAAATCAACACTGATGTATTTTTACGAGTATCTTTTATTTTGAGCTAATCACGCGCGAGTTTTAACTTTTTAAAATTAATTTAACTGTTCATTTTGTCTGTTTGTAGTTTACATATTGTTATTTTTAGTGATTTGTTACTAAGTAGTGTAGTGTTTGTAGAGTAGTTTCAAGTGTTTGTAATGATTTGTTACTAAGTAGTGTAGTGTTAGAATAATAGACTATTTTTATATTGCAATTTGTAAATTTTTCAAAATAAAAATATCAAAAAGAGGAACATCTGGAAGAAAATTTTTTTTTACATTTCACATCACATTTATATTTCTTGATTATAAACTGTATGGCTTGAATCTATTAAGTCAAGTTTCTCTCCTATATTATAAAAAGACACAAAATGCAAGGACCTCCAAATATAGTTAAAAATATTTAAAGGTTAATTGGTTACAGATGGTCTGCATAATAACTAAGCTTATACTTTCATTTTCGTTTGTGGAATAAATATATTTTTGTATACAATATAGAAACACAAAAATAAAAAACAGATTTTTTAAAACAATTGGCATTGGTCTATGATTACCATTACCGATGCCGACGGCGATACATCGGCTAAACGGTTGATGCATCGATAGGCCGATGCAGACGCATCGGTGCATTCTTAATAGATGCTTATTAGTTATAACGTAAGCATTGTTGTGTTTTAAAATTATTTTAATTTATAAAAGAAAAGTTTTTTATATAGGAAGCCCTCTGGTAAGAATAATGCAAAAGTTTTTATATTTTACTAAGAGTTGCGTGCTGTTATTAATATTTGATGCTGCAAGACATTCCATTATGGTTTGCTGCTAAAATTACATACATTTATTGAGAGTAAACTAACCTTGACCCTAACCTTAATTACAAACTCCTCCCATACCACTATAGGCACATACTAAAATGCACCAAATTAGTATTAGAATCATACTATGCAATTCAAAACCTGATGCTTGCACAAATTCCATGTTTTTACAGCAGTTTTTTTATTGAAGGAGTTTTAGGATCAATTTTTGTGAATTAGAACGCATAGTTCTATTTCAGAAAAAAATAATCCTTTTACTGACTATCCATCTGACTTTAGGATTTGCTATCTACAAATTGCTTACCTAATAGGCGCAAATCTTCTGCTGAATTAGAATGTTCAACCTTCACTATTAGATAAAGATAAAACAACATGACAATCTAAAGTCTTACATACTTTTAATAATCATCTAGAAAATAAAATTTGAAATTAATAATTAAACTTACCTTAGAGTTTTTAAGTTTCAACCATATCTATACCCAGACAGCAAGCTTACATTGGCCCAACGTAAGTTTTAACATTGGCAAGTTTATTTCGTTGGGCCAACATTTAGCCAATGTTTTTTTTCGGCGTATTATTTTCAATTCTGCAAATCTTTTTTTTGCAAATATCGTACTATATTGGGCCAACATTTAGCCAATGTTTTTTTTTCGGCGTAATTATGCAATTCTACAAATCGTTTTTTTGCAATTATCGTACTACGTTGGGCCAACATTTGGCCAATGTAGTTTAGGCTTAATATTTTGGTATAAAAATCTATTCTTACCACTGATCTCTATTATAACTGATCTATTTTATTATAGAGATCAGTGATTCTTACATATAAACCGTAGCCAATATTCGGCCAATGTAATTTCGTATTATTATATACTATTGTTGAGTAATAATTTTAAAAATGGTATCGTTTGACAGAATAAAAGACGCCGTGGATAGCCTACCGAAAGCCGGTAGCGGAAAAAATACCGAAAGCTTTTTTTATTGGTTGAGAATACCACATGTCAAAATAAACAATATTTGTTATACCGTAAAATGACATATTATTTTTAAAAAACAAAAACGTAAAAAATGTAAACAATTAAATAGGATTTTCCATTAAATAAATAGAAATGACTGCCACCCTATACCAAAACCCTCAGTCAATGCATGTACACTACACAGCGCATATCCCTATATTAGTAAACGTGTGTGCACTTCACTGCGCCTATCCCTAAGCTAGTAAATGTATGTACACTTCGCTGCGCCTATCCCTAAATTAGTAAATGCATGTACATTCCTCGGTGCCTATCCCTAAATCAGTCAGTGTATGAACACTCCATTGCGTCTATTAATGCATTGTGCTATTCGCCGCGTATATCCCTAAATAAATTATTCAATTAATAAGCATAATAAAACCTAAAAAACATGGAAAAAAACAATCGAAATGTAAAAAATATAACTTAGGAAGGATTCGAACCCCGAACGTGTCAAGATCATATCCGATACACTACTAAACATTGTAACTTACGTATTTAAAAATATATTTATTTAGTTATTTTATTGTAACACGTGACATTTCTTAACTAACAAAAAAAAACTTTCGGTAGGATAATTTTTATTGACATTAAAATTTTTGTTAACATTTAATTTAAATGTTAACAAATATTTCATTATTTAAAAAAACAAAACAATAAATCACGAGAATCTCTTAAAGTTTATATTTAAATTTTAAATAATATGCTTAAAACATTTTTTACTACAATCTAAATTATTAGTGTAATAATAAAGGCAATAATCAAATTATTTTTGTGTAAGATTTTAAAGTTATTTTTTTATTTTTATTGCTGTATGGGCATTTCAAATGTTTGAATTATTTAATCTTTAATAAATAAATAAAACATTCCAAATGTTCGATTTATTTAATAAAGAAGACATTTTAAATGTCTTCTTTATTAAATAAATCTAACATTTGAAATGTCATACAGTATAAGTTTTTTTTTTTCATAATTTATTTATAATAGTTTAGATTATATAGCTATTATAAAATTTATATTTTTAGGTATCATTAATATATATGTGGCATTGATGTTGTTAGAAGCTAATATTTCACAAAAGTAATGTTACTAGAACTTATATTTTACTTATATAGAGCTTTCTAATATTTCATCTTTATGAGGCAGAGGGACATTATTCTTGGTTTTATTATTTTTCAATTTAATATCTCTGGATATTTTTCATATTTAGTTTGTGTACAACAATTAACAACTTTAAGCTTATACATTAACTTCAGTTATAAATTAATTATTAATGATTTGATTTATAGATTTTTAATGCAATACAAGATTGAATTTAGCAGAGGGCTAAACTTCTGCTCTGGAAATAAAAAAGGAAGACAGCGAAAATGATCAGCCAAAAGAAAAATTAAAGAGACTAAAAATTCTGTATATCTTGGTGTAGATGATTTGTTCTCAATTTCTTATAATCAAACAAAAAATATTATTAAAATTTGGGAGTTACCTGTAACTCCAAACTCTTTACAGAAGTTCAATTTTTGTTCTGAGAAGTTGAATGAACAAAATTTATTAAATGTTTTTATATAAAAGTTTTTATTTTATAAAAGTCTGATGATTAAAAATCTTTTTTCATAGCTTTAAATTTTACAATTTTAATATATTATATATTTTTTCATATATTAAGGTCAAAAAGTCAGTTAAGTGTTAATTAGAATTTTATTGTGTAGTAATAAACATATCAAGCTTACACCACAGGCTTGGTTGGGAAGCTTTCGAATACTAACCTTGGAAATTATATTTAGTTGCAAAAAACTGGCCAGGTTTTTTAGTTGTTTTAAGAACAATTAAGTTTATGAACGTAACAAAATTTTTTTGTTGGATTTCAAAGTTGGTGTCACCAACTTTAAAATCCATTTGAAATCAACTGTTGAAAAAAACAATAGAGTATTTAAATCAGTTTAAAGTTTTAATAGTTGCTGGTGGTTCATTATTATTCATTATATAAATGTTTATTTAAATTTATCTAATAGACAAAGGTAAAACAATATTTTTGTAGATGATATTATTTTTAAAAATTGTATTAATAAAATTCAGAACTAAAATATTTAAAAAAAAAATTATTTACAAACATTAACAAGGTCCGTACTGTACCTTGAAAATCTGGAAAATTTGTTAATATTGGCTAAAGTCAAGAAAACCTGGAAAAGTCAGGGAACGATTTCTTGAGTTAGTCATGTAAAAATCAGTAATTCTAGTTAAGAAGTTACTCGTTTCACAATTGAATGCTGTATTTTGAAAACGTGATGACACTTGAAAATGGTCACACTTTTTTTAAAAGTGAGGTTATTTTAGTAAAATTTTTTTTAAATGTGAGGTTTTTTTAGGAAAAGATAAAGTTATAAGATAAAATAAAGAATTTTTTAGATAAGATAAAGATTTTTTTAGATGAATTTTATATAAATAGTTGGCTACGAACCCTGATGAAGAAACATCCTTTTAATATGAATTTTGTTTTACAGTGCAATCTGTATCTCAAACATTAACGAGAACTGTTTTGTGTCAGTGCCCGAAATTGAATGCACACCTGCAAATTTCATAATTCATAAAAATGTTATGAATCCATTAGCAAGTATACATTTTTTATCATTAAAAATTTGCCCCTCTATCTTTTATTTTATCTGTTTTATTAGTGATTGTTGTATTTACTTTCATAAATTCTAAATATAATATGTAATTAGTTGTATAATTAACTTTATTGTTTGAGAAAAATGTTGGTTTCTATTGCGTGTTTAAAACGCTGTTGTGTGTTTATAAGCTTTTAAAACCTTAAACAAAAAATAAAGCAACTGGGCCTGATGAAATAAACAAAAATATAGTTATAGATTGCTATGAACAAATTAAAAATATTCTTTTTAAAATCTTCAAAGCATCCATCCATCAAGGAATTTTCCAGATTGCTTAAAAATTGCTAAAATTATTCCAATTCACAAAGAAGGCGACAGATCCAATATCAATAATTATTGCCCCATCTCTATACCCTCTATTGTATTCCATCTCTATCCTACCTGTAATCCTAGAAAGAACTATGTTTAACAGAGTTAATTATTATTTTAATTACAATAATCTACTATACAACAATCAATTCGGTTTCAAAAAAGATAGTTCAACTGACCATGCCATTATTCAATTTGTACGCAACATCTCCAAATCCTTTGAATAAGCTCATTAGGTATTTTTATAGATCTATCAAAATATTCTATAGTAATAATGACGTTCAAAGTGGATCCTTAAATATAACCTGTGGTGTTCCACAAGATTCTATTCTTGGATTGCTGTTATTTCTTATATATGTCAATGATCTAAACAAAGCCTCTAACCTGATGAGTATTATTTATGCAGATGACACTAACTTATTTCGATCCCATACTGATGTTTACAAACTTTTCTCAAAAACTAATAATGAACTTATGAACATTTCTAAATGGTTAAAATGTAATAAACTAACGTTAAATACTAACAAGACTAAATGGATTCTTTTTCATTCCTTCTCAAAAAAACGTTCTTTACCAGACATTATGCCTCAAATTTATATTGATGAAACTCTAATAAAAAGAGATTCTGTTATAAGATTCCTAGGTGTTTATCTTGATGAGAATATTACTTGAAAAACTATATTAATCATATATCTAAAAGTATTGGCATTTTGTATAAAGCCCGACCTTACTTAGGCAAAAAAAGCCTTACGCAGCTCTATTACTCATTCATACACAGCTATATAAACTACGCAAATATTGCATGGGGTAGTACCGAAAAAAGTAAACTACAATGTCTATATCGCCAACAGAAACATGCGATTCGCGTGATTAATTATGTGGATCGCTCTACACATTCAAAGCATTTCTTTGATGAAATAAAATACTTAATGTCTACAGACTTAACGTTTTTAATGTTTTATGTTTTACTTATATGTGGAAAAACAATTTCTCCCTACCTGTTTTTAACGACCTTTTTACATAACTTACTAATAAGTACTCACTAAGAAATAAAGATTTAAATTTTGTTCTACTAAATGAACGATTTTGTAGAACAAAATTTAATAAATTTTGTATTAATTATCGAGCACCTTACCTTTGGAATAAAATAGTTCTGACTAATTTTGATCCTTTTATCCGTTTATCTGTTTTTAAAAATGAAATAAAAAATTTTGTTCTTGCTATGAATGACATTTTAGGTTACTATTAACTTTAAGAGCAGCCGTGGCGCAGTGGTTAGAGTTCTGGCTCAGAACTCAGAGGTCCCAGGTTCGACGCCAGCTCTAGCCCAACAAGCGACATTGGTACGGAAGGAGGCGTGAACTTCCTGTTAAATGATCTCCCGCGGTGCTCTGTGATAAGACCATAAGAACTTCTGGGAGCACCTAAATACATACAAAAAAAAAAAAAAAAAAAAAAAAAAAAGTATAAACTTGATTTATGAGATTTATAGTAATATTTATATTAATAGATTTATTTTCTTTAATTTATAACAGATCTATAAAATTTATTATTATGGATTTTTATAACAGATTTATGAGAATTATTATTACAGGTACGTGATTATTATTATGAATTTATAATTATATATTCATTATTACGATCGTTTTTTGGATTATATTTTCAGTTTTATGGTATGATAAAATTGTAAAGGTTCTAATAATCTAGCCTAATAGTCTAATAGTCTAATAGTCTAATAATAAGATCAGTTTATCTTCTTTCAGAAGACTTGTTTTCTTTGTTCTTGTAAAATATAGTATTAGTACTCAAGGAAATAAATGCCCTAAATGTATTCAAATTAAACATCTACCATAACTTCTTATTTATGTTTAAACTTCAAAACGAATTAATTACAAAATATTTTTATAAAAACAATACACTCAATAAATAATTACTACATCCCACTAACATTATTCAAAAATTCTGACTTCTCAATTACATGTCGGGGACCACGCTTGTGGAACTCGGTTCTTGACGAAAATATTTAAAAAATAAAATCTATTGATATATTTAAAAGAGCTATAAAAAAACACTTACTAAATTTAAACAATACGTACATTCTTTCATTTTTTTAATTGAAAAAAAAAATAGATATATATGTATTTTGCGTGTGTATGTATGTATATGTGTATATGTATGTGTGTGTATGTATATGTGTGTATGTATATATATATATAAATATATATATATATATATATATATATATATATATATATATATATATATATATATATATATATATATATATATATATATATATATATATGTATATATATATATATATATATATATATATATATATATATATATATATATATATATGTATATATATATGTATATGTGTATATGTATATGTGTGTATGTGTATATGTGTATGTGTATATATATATATACATATATCCTTCTTATATATATTCTTCTCTTTTCTTTTTGTTTGTCTGTTTTAATTTTGTTTAAAAAAAAAAATATGAGTAGATGAACTTAAATCTATAAAATGTTCGGAATCTTTTTTAATTCAAAATATCTTTTGTATATTTAAATATATATTATGAAGTTTATTGGATATGTATACGCATATGTACGGATTTGTAAATTATTTTTTTAAACTTTTTTATTTTTTATTATTTTCAAACTTTTTAGTTTTGTCAAACTTATAAATTATTTTTTTAACTTTTTGATTTTTTCAAACTTTTTAATTTGTTTTTTTTAAACGTTTTTTAATTTCACTCTTTTATATATTATTGGAAATTGTAAATTTTTTTTTTTTTTTTTTTCACGAAGGGGCTTGATGATAAGACATTTTATCTTCTACTTGCTCCAGTCAGCTTGGATTTGTATAAATTTATTTGAATGTAAGGTTAATATTGTAAAATGTGTCAAATGACGAAAAAAAAATAAATAAAATAATAATAATATTATTTATTTTACGGCAAATGTAAACAGAAAAAACAACAACAACAACAAAAAAAAAACTTCTAAAACAAAAAGAATAACACATGTGAAGAATGGTTTTCAATCCGAGAAACTAACTATTACCATAAACACCATTTAAAATTTTAATATTTCCACCGTTACACAACTGGAGTATTATATTGTAATAAATTTCTATAAAAATGTGAAAAAAAAACAGGTATTAAACTCGAGTAAAAATGCCCGTAATAAACACTCGCACAGTTGTGTCTAGATCATATCCCAATCGCAACAATTGTATAGTATTAGTATTTTGCTGAACAATGAAATTGCGAACTGGAATGCTGCCTCTTTAAACCAAAACCTTTAGTCGATGCGTGTTCACTTCACTGTGCCTATTCCTAAATCAGTCGATATATATACACTCACTACCTTTATCTCTAAATAATTCATTGTTTGGCAAGTTAATAAACTTGTCAAAATCATTGCGAGTGGGATATGATCTTGATACAACCGGTTTACACCTAGATCTTGAATAACGTCTCTGTATATTTTAATTCCGAAAGAGTAACTAGATGTGCGATTGGGAATAGAAGAATGTAACTAAAAATTTTATTTCTGGTTGAAAA